AAGACCCCGAACCACGCATTGCTATACAATATTAATCATTTCTGGGCTGTCGAACCGTGACGTCACCTGATATGCCAGCTTGGCAGCTGAGCAGAGCAGTAGACCAAACATGAAGAAAATAATGTGTGTGGCTGTTGTTTTCGTGGTGTGTATCTAAAACAATTTGACATAACATTACACATTAAGACAAATATTATGGTTACTTTTACCGTCATAATAACATTTGTCCCTGACGGCAGCCTTTCTGCTTTAAATAACCTTGCATTTAACAGCCTGAGGAGACATCCTGTCTGCACTAAACATTCCTAGACAACAAATCTCTGAATATCTATCTAACTAAAAAATAACCTAACAAGGAAGAACCCCACCACCACCACCATCACCATACTTGGCAGCACTGTATCAGCAGTAAAGTCCTGCAAGTTTCTGGGCTCCACTATCTCACAGGACCTGAAGTGGACGTCCAACATCAGGACCATCACCAAGAAGGCACAGCAGAGGATGTACTTCCTGCTCCAGCTCAGGAAGTTCAACCTGCCCCAGGAGCTGATGATACAGTTCTACAGAGGAATCATTGAGTCTGTTCTCTGCACCTCCATCACTGTCTGGTTTGGCTCAGCAACCAAACAGGACAAGTACAGACTTCAGCGGACAGTGAGGACTGTAGAAAAGGTCATTGGTGTGAGCCTGTCCTCTGCTGCTTTAAAAATCAAAACTGATTCCAAGACTGTGATTTAGAAATTATTTGTTGCGCTGACCTTATTGTTTCCAAATCACAGTGTGATGTCTTCAGCGCACAACAGAGCGCCATCACTCCAGCGTCCTGCAGGTCATTGTAGCTCAGGTCTAGCTCTCTCAGGTGCCAAGTGTCAGAGCTGAGTGCAGAGGCCAACGTCTCACAGCCTTTTTCAGTGAGTTTGTTGTGACTCAGACTGAATTAGAAATTATAGGAATACAATTTTACTGCTAAACATTAGACAAAAAAATGTACATGCAAACAATATTGTTAGAATTTTTTAATCTGTAATATGTAATTTAGTTTTGCACACGTGTTATGAGCTGATGCATGTTCTGCTACATTAAGTTGATTAAATTAACCTTCTGAGAAATTCTTTTGCCTATTAGATTTATTTTGGTTCCTTCTTTTGTCTGTTTCAAATTAAGTTGCACCCATGATTGAGAGTTTTAGAAATATTTAAATGCAGTGCATGTAACAGAGTCTTACCTCAATACCTGCAGCATACACGTTTCACTCATCAGCCCTGTAGAGATGATCTCCATCTCTGAGTCACCAAAATTGGTGTAGCTCAGTTCCAGCTCTCGCAGGTAACACAGGTTGGACACAAGTGCCGTCACCAACACCTTAGAGATTTCTGCAGCCCCAGGATTTCGGTTCAGTCTTTTGGTAGAGACACAATGAAAATGGCATTAAATTAGAAACGTATAAACAGATGACACTGTCCAGTTCTACCACGACACCACTCTGCATTAAGCATGCATATATATATATACTGACCTGAGCTTCTCCAGTTTAGGGCTGGATAGCACAACAGAAAGCAAAGAGCACAAGGAGCCCTTCAGTATGTTGTCACTCAGCTCCAGTTCTCTTAGATTTTTGATAACTGATTGAATGACTGATGCCATGTTCTCACAGTCTGTGTGCGACAGTCCATTACCTGAGAGACTACAAACACAGAAGGCAAGAAGCTTCAACTAGGTTGAGACATTCACTTTAATTATCACTTTGGGCAGAGACACAACAAGCTGAGAGCTCAGATTGTGTGTACAGACAGCGAGAGTCAGCCGACCGTCCTGAGTCTGGACAGGCCTGTAAACTGCAGCAAGTTCAAAGACAAATCACAGGATTTTAAGAATCAATTAGGCATAACTCAAATAAAAAATGTCATCATTTGGAAAACTACTGCCCTAGCTGCTGTACCACTGAATAAAAGTGGATGCAGGTTAATAAATGTCCCTATTTGTTGGGGCTCATCATTGGTTGGCTGGCTGAGGTACTATTTACGCAATTTTGAGTGTATTAATCCTGTAAAATAAGAGATTAAGCACAGAGCCCAGTCAAAGTCCATTTTAAAAAACTTGAAATACAGTAAAATTACCAGTGTTTTATGTATTTCAATGCACACAAATGTGTAACTAGCAGGTATTAAAATGACAGAAGAAAGAGAGAAGGAAGAACAAACACATTAAAAATAAATTTACTATCCTGAGAACTTCTAGTTTACACTGAGAGTGTATCAGTCCATCAATAAGGATCTCTGTACCTTTCTCATAAAATGTACTATGTATCAGATGCAGTTCTGTTAACACAGAGTTTGGCATTCGAAGAGCTGAGGAGATTATTTCACAAATCCAAGAATTGAGATACACCCCTGAGCGTTGATATATCATTTGTAAAGATAATTTGAAAAAAAAAAAAAAAAAAAAGACAATGATGCTAAATCAGGTCATTTTAATTGAAAACAAATAATTAGCCATTTGGAAGTATGTTGAGTCCTTGTGGATGCAATTTAATTAAAAAAAACTTTAAATATTGCTCATTTTTCACTGTGTGAAAAACAAAGTGATACTGTAGCATGAAATGCAGTTATACCACAGTTTAAGCAACTGACTTACCTTGCTATTCTGCAATTCCTCACTGCTGGGATGAGCCTAAAAATACCTTTAGCTGATGGCCTGTATTTCTTCAGGTTGAATTCCTCTAGAGGTCTGTTTGACATTAGAACTGCATCGGCCAGAGCTGAGCACGAAACAGGGGAGAGTTGTGTGTCTGGACCGTGATTTGGCTTCAGATACTGACACACAGTATCATGTAGGGAACTACCCTTCAGCTCAATCAGGCAATGCACGAGGTTTAGACATCTTTCAGGTGAGCAGTCCCCTAAATCTATTTCTAGTAGACTTGTCCTTATTTCCTCAATAACTGCAGTGTTCCTCTGCCTGCTGAATCAGGCCATGAAGGAATTCTTGTGTCGATCTTAGATATTCCAATAAGGAATCTGAGAAACATATCCAGTTCTCCTGTCTTTCTCTGAGTTGAATTAGCTATTGAGATTTCAATGAGTTCATTCAAAGGTAGATCGACCGGCTCTGCTTCTAA